TCTCCTGCCCTGCAGGGACACCCCTCAGCTACAGGGGACCCCTCCTCTCCTGCCCTGCAGGGACACCCCTCCTGTCCCGCTGGGGACCCCTCAGCTACAGGGACACCCCTCCTGTCCTGCTGGGGACCCCTATTATTTAATTCAGTTGCCTAATGGAACTTCACATTTTATACTCTGCTATATCTTTCTGCTTAAAGGACTGTAAGGCACAATATAACCAGTGCATTTTAATTAATGAAGATAGTTATGATACATCAGAACACGAAATAATGTCTTCTAAATTGCATCTGAGCTGTAACACTTTAAAAAGACTTAAAACTTCTGATCTCAGAACAGGACCTGACGATTGTCAGCGGTTTTTGCCAAGTGGCTTACTGCAGAATGCTCCGAGATGGGAACTCTGAAAACGCGCTCCCTCACTGTATGAAAACAACCATAAAAGACCTCAAGCCTTCGCTGTGCTCAACATCTAGTGCCCAGACAGCAAACTGGGTCATCAGAAGGACAGGAAATAACCCTGTTGTGCTCAAGGAAGACTTTCCAGGATTCGGGAATTGCACTATTCTACCAAACAGTTTAGTAATCTAGTATTTATTTTCAAAAACGATTTAAACTTCCGGAGAAATGTCTTTTTTATCGACATTATCCACCGTAATCCTGGTACAAATCTTTACAAAACAGTGACTATTCATTCCGCTGTGAGTTGAGGTTCACAGCGTGGGGGCGTTTCTATACGTGCAGAACAGTGAACAGTGAGGAGCTTCCATTCAGGCACGAAATGCTCAACAAAAGCGTTTAAATTAATACTATGTTCTCCACAGAAACGGACATTTTACAAGCACACGGATTACATGAATGTGCAGAATGAGCCGGGCAACGACCAGGCCCAGGAGGCTCTGCTCGCGCTACACTGTTGGCACCCCTGATGAATGAAACGCCGCCATCGAGATTAAGAGTTTTTGTTCCGAAATTCGCATAATGCAGTAAAACAAGCAAATGAATCGCAGTGCTAAGACTGCGAGAGCGAATGTGTAACTCAATTTAAAGACGGGTATTTCTTCTGGGAATAAAACAAAAAGTCTTATCTACAGACAGTCGAGCGGCGGCGACGACGTGCTGCTAAAAGTCTTATTTATGAAGCTGGTGAATTAAAAACAAACAACTATCGCACGGAAACTTTCAGGCAGGACCACCTGAAAACCCCAAAGCGCCCCTGGACCACAGCGGGACGCAGGCGAGCCCGTGTAAACAAAGACACATGTTGCCAGCGCCCCGCGCACACAATGGGTGGTGCACGCGCGCACACGCGCCAGGTCCGCCGTGCACGACCCGCTCTGCCCCGCGAGCCCCTCCAGCCCCGCGCGGCGGCCGGCCCGTGCCCCCCGGCTGCGGCGGTTCCGGCGGGCGCGAGCTGCCCAGCCCGTACCGGTGTTGTAGACGTGCAGCTCCTCGGCGATGCCCTCGTTCCCGCCCCCGAACACGATGAGCAGCTCCCGGATGGCCACGGCCCGGTGGCCGTGCCGGGACCGTGGGACGGGACCGCTGAAGGACTGGACCTTCCTCCAGAGTGGACCTTGCGAAGCCATCGTCCCGCCGCTCTCCCTCTCCGCCGGGGGACGGGGGGACATCGGCGGCGCCTGGGTCCGCCCCGATCCCACATTGCAACTGGGCCTACGTCACCGCGATCGATTCTATGGTAGGGCTCGCTCGTCCCCCTCTGCTCCGAGCGCTCTGCCCGCCGCTGCTGTTGCTCTCACATGGGAGCAGGACAGCAGCCGGAGGGTCGGCGGATTCCGGCTCCTTCCTCCGCGGAGTGGAGCAGCTTTAGCGCCGGGCGTTGCGAGCGCGGCTCCGTGAGGAGCTCGCCGGCTTCCCCGGCGCTCCGTGCCCCCGCATCGAGGGTAAAATCGGCTGTGCGCGGTCGTGGCTGCGCTCGGTGTCTAGGGGGTCTGGGAGAGTCGTCTGGTTTATTTATTTTGCCCCCTTTATAGCCGGTACGTTCCTGTTCAGTGGAAGTGAACCGTTCACGCGTGGCGCTCTCGGAGAGACGGGTTAGGCACATACTGCCGCACAGTTGTGTTCAATCACACTGCGGACGCGTCTGTCACAAGCACGCTGGTTAGACACAGAGGCCAGTCCGCCCATCCAGCTCGTATTTATAGCTAAAAGATCCCATCCAGACATCTCTTGAAAGAAACCAGGGTCTCGTCTTCAATAGTATGGCTGGCGAGCTTGTTCCACACCCCCACAACCCTTTGTGTAAAGAAGTACTCCCAGGTTCCCGTTTTTTAAACCAAAAGCATTTCCACGAAGTTCCAGCTTGTGCCCTTTTTCCCCCTGACGATGTCCATTGGGTTGACTTTCTTAATGCACTTTCATGTTTTAAATACTTGATTCAGAAGCACTCCAAGTCTACTCTGTTCAAGATAAATGTATTCAGGCCCAGATTTATTAAGTGAAAACGACTGCAAAAAGCTCACTCAATAAGAACATTCAGTATAGGCACACTTGTTTCCCAAGGACATATTGACTAAAGCAGGTAATTCATTTCCCCCTCAACAAGTGTACGAATTAAACTGTAATACCTAGTGGTGGATAGTTACAGGACATCGCACATACCAGACTGCAGATTTGAGTCAACCCTCTGTGCCCACATGCCCCCAGGTGAAAACTGAAACAAACTGACATGAAAGTGGATGTTTGTGTACAAGTGCTTGCACACAAGTGTGTTATGAGGTCTTAATTATTCAGCTGGAGGACAGGAAAATGAGATATCTGGGTTAAAGGGTCTGCATTCTGGGAGTCTGGGGCTGTACGTCGGCCTCTGAGATGCACTGTTTGGTATATAGTGCAGCGTTTAATGTTGTACAGTTTTGTGTTTTGTTATTTCATTGTTAATAAATGTTTGTCCAAGTCTGTTATTTTATTGCTCTGTTGCTACAGCTGTGTCAGTGAATATAAAGAACTTACGTTCTTTATACGTTCCTACAATACAGGTTTGGGTACATATGTTAAATTGTAACCTACCAATCGGGCATTTTTGACATTCACATTTTACATAAGCACTCTATTTTTCTAACTCTCCAAATTTGTAACAGCACTGAAATAATAAGGTTATTTAAGGTTAATAATAACGAGCGCCGCCGCGCGTGTTGATCCATCAGCACACGCTGTACCGCGCAGCGAGCAGCGCTATTTAAACCATCCAGACCCGCTTCCCGCTGCTCGGTATTGAGTTTACTCCCTGAGAGCTCTACCTGGCGATTCCTAAACCTTGTGTCACTCTGGATTTTATACTACCCCTTCTCCCTTCGACCACAATCTCCACTCTCAACTTGGATTGTTTGCCTCCGGTGTCTGTCCTGGATCTCGACCTTCCTTACCCCCATTGACCACGATCTCGCCTCTCGATTCAGATTGTTGCCGTGTCTACTGGCTACTCCTGCGGCTGCACAGGATCCATATCTCCTCATTAGGGTATCCTAACAGTGACTGTGCACACTGCTAGTCTTTGACTTTCACACTACACTTCCTGATAACCAACGCTGTGGTTGAACGATGATAAACAACAAAAACAGTGTACCTACAGTATGTCATGTCTGTACAATATAGTGTCAGTGCATCATCTTCAACAAAAAGGATTTTCTCATTACCCTGAAAATAATGGGGTTAATTTGTTCCACTAATAAGTGATGTTTCTTCTGATGCTTACTATTCCTTGAGTCAACAAACAACAAGGTTCTGTACAATAGCACACATGATAGCAACAAAAGTAAAAGCAGGGTAAAACCGCCCATTTATCCAGTACATTGTGGGACTGGTGTAGAGCTGCAGTTTGGCGTAACTTGTCAAGGGTTTGACAAAGGATGAATATCTTCACTGCAAACGTAGTTTTAGAATATGTTAATTACGAAGGCACATCTGAGATCCAACCACGGGAGAAAAAATCTCTTCACACAAATGGCTTCCCTCTTACTCTATATACAGTACCCTTGTGAGTAACAGCTTTTGTGTTTCCTTGTAAAGATTGAAGCTTTAAGTTAGGAAAAGCATATATTTGGAAAGAATGTGTATTTTAACACCATCACAAAATGAATATTTCTGAATTCTAGACATGCAAATACTTAGTACTTCTTAGATTTAATTACTACACAGTCACAGAGCTAGTGGCCTGCTTTTAAAACAAGATGGAAAATAATCTCTGCACCGACCTGATTTTTGTTTTTAATAGAGAAGGGACTTTAAATATAAGAACAAGACCAAACACTATATGACCTTTTCCAGATTTCAGTTGCTCGTTTCAGAGCAACGTCCTGGAAAACACCAGGGCAGATAGGTTTGGAAATGGGCTCAAGACCTGGGCGCAGGACTCGGGTAGCAGCTCCTGGTTTAGCTCCCAGCCCAGTCACACAGGCAGCATCAACAGCGGAGAGAAAGGAGAGAAACTCGAACCTGTGAACGCAGGAGAGGGAGCAGTTGTCGTGACGACGGATGGTATGTGCCGTGTTTGGTTATTATAACTACGTATTTCTAGGTAAAAGACTCATGAATGTGTTGAATTGCTCAGGGGCAGAGGGACACCAGACGTGTTCGTTGGCTGAAGGGTTTTGCTGATAGTGCAGAAGACGACGGAGGGATTACTGCAGCCTCTCAGGCAGACCAGGACGGGGAGATACTCTGCCGATGAGGTGCACAGCCCTGTAGGCCAGGACTGTCCAGTCCTGGTCCTGGAGCTGAGGTAAGTCTGTGGGTTTTCAATTCAGCTCCGAACTCAACAAACTCATACAGCTGCAATACCAGTTCAGCTAGACCAACCAACATCTTCTCTCGGCTCTGTTTGTGCTCGGTTTGGTTTTTCATTCCATCTAAAGTCTGGGCGAA